GCCCGGGGCGTGTGCGCCCCGCGCGGAGCGGGCTCGGCCTCGGGCTCCCTGCGGAATGTCCCCGGGGCGGCCGGCGCGCTGACCCTCCGGCTGCCTTCGCCGTCGGTGCCTGCCGCCTCTGTCGGGCCGCCTCGCCGTTTGGGACAGCAAGCACCCCTGCTCCCGGGCAGTGGGGCAACCCCTGGGGGTGGGTGACCTCCGCTGGCCACGACCCAGCCCTCCCCCGTGCGAGTCTCGCTTAAGATGGCAGCGGAGCCCGGGGAACTAATCGGGGCTTGCGAGTTCATGAAAGGTGAGGAGCAGCCCGCCCCGCATCCTCGGACCCGCTCGTCCCAACTAGTCCTACTTCCCCCTACTTCCCAACCACCGCCCCCTGCCTTCTCCCGGGGGCTGCAAGGGTGCCTGCAGCGCGGCCTCTCTCGGGACTCTCCTCTCCCCGGGGACCCCCTGCTTCCGGCTTCTGTGTCCGCTCTGCGTCCCTCGTTCCTTCTGCAGCTCCCTCAGATGGCCTCTTTGCCCAGCACTGGGACAGGGCTGACTTCTGCCTAGACTCCTGCACGCTGCACATCTTGGAGATCCCGTTCCGGGCGTCCCCTGAGGTCGCCTTTCTCCGGACACCGGCACCACCCCCCCAGTCTCTCCCGTCTTCCTCTTCTTGCAGCGTCTGAGCTACAAGGGAGAGGCTCATCTCACTCTTCCCCTTTGGCAGTTGCTGAGGTCGGGGGATTTCTAAACCACATTGGCCTCTCCAGTTCTGGGGTATCCCAGTCTCCCGGCCTGAAACTGGAAGATGTGGGAACCGAGCCCCCTGCTAAGTCCTTCACGCGGTCCTCTTGCCACCTCTTCAAATGTGTTCTCCCTTTCTGGAAGAGATTTTTCAGCAAAAATTCCACGTGCTACAGTTGTCTTTAACTTAGTGCAGGCACTTGTTATATTGATTCTGGTGTGTTATCATTATTCTCCCATCCCCAACTCCCTCACTTCTCATGTGTTTTCTCCCATATTTTAAACTTGTTTTTCAGATCGGTTATATTTTGCTACTTTAAGGAATAGACCAAAAAGCACAGTAAATACCCACTATTTCTCCATCGATGAGGAGCTGGTCTATGAAAAGTAAGTTTTTATTTTTTTGGTTCTCTCTTTCATTTCAATTATTGGCTCTTTGGTGAGGAAACACCAGGCAGCTTTAGGGTCCTTTTAGTCAGTTACCTCTGTTGGTGAAAGCAGCATTAGCAATTTTTATTTTAGGCTCAGGTACTTGGGGAGAGGTACAGGGGAAATTAACCATTTGAACCTGTCAAAGCTTTGAGTCCTTTTATTGCCCTATCCACACAACAAACCACTCCTCTGAGCAGACCGGTGACACACGCTCAAATGCTGGCCTCTGCAATTGGCCTGTGAATCAGTCCTTAAGTATTTATGGGATACCCACAAGGCGAAGGGCAGTGTGCTTCAGGTGCTTAAGCTTTATAGTTCCCCAGGCTTCTGTTGTTTTTGTTTGTGTAGCTTGTTTTTGGGAAAGTGGGACACTAGCTGCAGGAAGCTGTATCCAAGTCATATCTCAGTAAGATTTTGCCTGTATCCCGAATTACTAATTTATTTCATTTGTGCTTCATGGTATTGTTTTATTTGCCTTTGAGAAAGTGGTATAAGAGTGCCTATTTACTTTCATTTTGCTTCTTTAGGATTAGGATTTGAGAGTGCCAAGAATATGAAGTGTTTTCTATGAAAGATTATTGGCCTATAGGGAAAAAAACTCCACTTGAGACATAGTAAAAAGACCCAAATCTTCATTTACGTCAGTGGTTCTGAATCTTCCTAATGCTGTGACCCTTTAATATAGTTCCTCATTGCGGTGATCCCCCAACCATAAAACTATTTTCTTTTTTATTTATTTATTTATTATTATTATTTTTTAAACATTTTATTAGGGGCTCATACAAAACTATTTTCATTGCTACTTCATAACTGTAGTTTTGCTACTGTTACGAATCGGACACAGGCCCCTGTGAAAGGGTCATTCTTTCTACCCCCAAAGGGGTTGTGACCCAGAGGTTGAGAACCGGTGATTTACGTAATAAGGGTAACAGACACAATGAATTAGAAAAAAAACTGGTTGACTTGTTTTGCTTAAGTCCTTCTAGTAAGAGTTTTAGATGCAACTAGTTACTCTTTGAACAGAGTAGAACTGCCTCTGAGTTTCCAAGACCATAATCCTTTACCGGAGTAGATAGCCTCAACTGTCTCCTAAGGAGCAGCTGGTGGTTTCAAGTTGCTGACCTTGTGGTAACAGCCCAACTTGTAACCCACTACTTCACCGGGTACCTCCCTCAAAGTAGAGTAGGTCTTAACGTAGCTGGAATAAAGCTTTTGGGATCTTTATTAGCTGATGTGGCACAATTCAAAACGAGAGAGAAACAGTGGCATATATTCCTTAATAATTGGAACATTGAATTTACAAAGTATGAATCAAGGAAAATTTGAAGTTGTTTAAATGACATGGAATTACTTGAAGATCTTAGGCATTAGTGAGCTGAAATGGACTGGCATTAGCATTTTGAGTCAGATAATTACATTGTCTACTATGTTGGAAATAACAGATTGCAGAGGAAGGGCCTGGCATTCATTATCAAAAAGAACACTCAGAAAAACTCACTGCCATTGAGTGGATTCCTAGTGAAGCAATTGGTGGTTCGGAATTTCCAACCTTGTGGTTAGCAGCCTAACACGTAACCATTATGCTGCCGGGACTCCTATCAAAAAGAAAATTTCATGGTATGTCTTGAACAACAATTCTGACCATGGTAGGGTAGTACCCACTTACCTATAAGGAAGACCAGTTAATATTATTATTTAAATTTTTCACTAACAATTAATTCACAAGATGAAGAAATTGAAGAGATTTACCAACTTTTGGAGAAAGAAATTGATCACACGCAATCAAATTGCATTGGTAATTGCTTGTGATTGAAATGCAGAAGTTGGGAGATGAAGAAGCACCAGTGGTTGGAAAATAATGGCCTTATTGATAGAAATTGTAGGATAGAATTTTATAAGACCAGTGACCTTTTTTCAACCACACAAAGAGTGACGGCACGTGGACCGTGTCAGATGCAATGCACAGGAAACAGATGAACTGCATTTGTGGAAAGAGAAGCTCTCTGTCAGAATAAGCACAGGAGCCTACAGTGGAATAGATCACCAGTTCCTCCTATGCAAGTTGAAGTTGAACAAGTCTGCAAGAGAAGATTTGATGTATTAAATACAAAGATAAGGGGGTTATATATAAAGGAAGCAGAAGGGCATTAAAAACACAGGAAAGATAGAAAAGACAGACTCCAAAAACTTGCTCTTGAACATAGAGTAGCTAAACTGAAGGGAAGAAATGATGAAGTTAGAAAGCTGAACAGAAGATTGCAAAGGGCAGCTCAAAAAAAGACAAAATTATTATAATGAATTTGCAAAGGCCTGGAGTTAGAAAACCAAAGGAAAGAACACTCTTGGCCTTTCTCAAGCTTAAAAACAAAACAAAACTGAGGAAAAATTCAGACCCTGTGTTGCAATACTGAAGGATTTTACGACCAAAAAAGAAAAAAAATGTGTGGAATCATCAGAAGAAGCTGGTATGAATGTAGGAGACATTGGTCGAAGAAGAATTGGTTGATAGGCTGTTGCGTATGATCAATTACTATTGGTGTCCAAGGGAGAAGTCCAAGCTTCACTGAAAAACAGGGACCCAGGATTCAGAGTTCCAATTGAGATATTTCAACGAATGGATGCAGTGGAATGTAGAAATTATTGAGCAGTATTAACAATATCACACGAAAGTCTAATTTTGCTGAAGATAATTTAAAAAATGGTTGCTGCATTGTACTGGCAGAGAATTTTCAGAAATTCAAACTGGAATCACAAGAGCATATGAGTGAGGGATATCATATTGATAACAGATGGATCTTGGATGAAAGGAGAAAGGACCAGAAAGTATTTTATTGACTCTACAAAAGCATCTGACTGTGTGTCTCATAACAAATTGTGGGTAAAATTGCAAAGAGTAAGTCTCAGATCTCTTTAATTTTGCTCATGTAAAACCTGTATATAGACCAAGGAGCAGTTGTTTCAACAGAACAAGGGAATGCTGCCGGCCTAAAATCGGGAATGATGCGTATCACAGTTGTAGCCTCTGACTATACTTCCTCAATCTGTATGTTGCGCAAATAACCCTGGAAGCTGGACTACATGAAGAAGAGCCAACAATGAGGATCAGAGGAGGACTAACAACCTTGCTCGATGAGAGTGAGGGCTTGACACACTTTCTGATGATGATCAAAGACTAAAGCCTTCGGTATGGATTGCATCTTAACCTAAAACCCCCAATCCTAACAACTGGACCACTAGGCAGCATTACGATAAATGGGGAGAAAATGTAAATTGTCAAGAGTTTCATTTTACTTGGATTCACAATCTATGTCCATTGAAGCAGCAAGCAGTTTATATATCAAACGACATGCTGCATTGGGCAAATCAGCCGCAGTAGACCTCTTTAAAGGGCTAAAAAGCAAAGCTGTCACTTTGAGGCCTAAGGTGCTCCTAACGCAAAACTCACTGCCATCTAACCAATTTTGACTTACAGCAACCTTATCGACAAGAGTAGAACTGTTCCTGTGGGTGTCTAAGCTGTAAATCTTTACAGGAGCAAAAAGCTTCACTTTTTCCCCAAGGAGGTGGGTTCGAACTGCTGACCTTCGGGTTAATTCCCAGCACATTCCACTGGGGCTTTCATTCTTTACCCAGGCTGTAGTAATTTTAATTGCTTCATGTTCATGGGAATAAGGAAGACCAAAGAACTGATACCTTTGAATTATGGGGTCATGAAGAATATTGAATATACTGTGGGCTGTCAGAAAAATGCTGGAAAAAGTACAGCTAGAATGCTTCCGAGACGTGAGGATGGTGAGGCTTGTCACACGTACTTTGGATGTGGTGTCAGGAGAGACCAGTCCTGGAGGGTAATATATCTGGTAAAGTATGCATCAGTGAATTAAGAGGAAGACCCTTACCCAAATGGATTGACAAAGTGGCTGGGACAGTGGGCTCCAACCAAAGCAGTGGTTGGTGAGGATGGTGCTCCTTCTGATGACAAATAATGATGACTGTGCATTTTAATTTAAGCAGTTTTCTTGTGGTCATAACCAAATGGCCAATTAAATGAACACAATTCAATGAACCATAGTCACTGTAGGATTTGTCTTGTAAAGTAGGCAGTTTGGCCTCAGGAGATGCAGGATTCCACCATGCGTTCAAAGAGTGAGCCTGTTCTCTATCTTCAGAAAGAAGCCTTTTATTTGAAGGAAAAATATCCTTGTCACTTTATCATGGGTTCCTTGAAACCGGTGTCTTTAGGATGTTTCTCTTAGTGGCACTGGGCGGAGGATTCTTGGATGACTGAAGTAACAGTGGGAATGAAAGAGCCCCTTTGCCGCTGTGAATGCCCAGAGTTGCTGGGGCAAACAGGTCCAATCCCTGCTTTCAGATGACTGCTCTGCTCCTGGATGGAATGGAGTTAAGTACAGCCTACACCCAGGCCCTGTTTACCTGGATGATGTCATTGTCAGTGGTTTTTTTTGAGTATTTGTGCTAATGGTTGGGTATATATATTGTGGTGATTTAATTTTTGTGAAGTTAGAGTGTGGGGACCTCTCATGAGTCAGATAAGGACCACATATATGCTGTTTGTTCAGTTCTGCAGTGACATGATTCCAACTCACGTGACCTTACAGGACAGGGTAGAACTGCCCCTGTGGGTTTCTGAGGCTACTTTTTAAAAAGGCATAGAAAACCTCATCTTTCTCCTATGGAGCAGTTGGTGGTTTTGAACTGCTGACCCTGAGGTTAGCAGCTATTACATCACCAGGGGTCTTTCTGATATACCATGCCAGCTAGCAGTTGTTAAGATGTCATTGAGCAAGCTGAACTCTGAAGCCTGAGTTGCCTCTCTCAGGATTACTGGGTGGCAGATTTAGCAGAAAACGACATTTAGCCAACTAAACCAAAACAATGTTCAGTGGGTTTTTGATTGTACTATTGTTATATCAGGGACATTTGCTATCATTTTA